ATAGAGGTAAATACTATTAGCTAATGATGCAGGGAGGGGATTGTAATCATTACAATGATTTGCTGAATGTAAAACCGGTGATGTGCCCTGTAAACCTTCACTCATTCAATACACAATAAAAGCTTAAATCAATCAATCAATCAATAAGAGACAGACAGGAGCAGAGATCAGAAGGCCCTAATACCACAAAGAAAGAAAGAACTGAAAGTAGAGTGGAGTCCTTTGGATCTGGGGTCCCTGCACTGGGAAGCTCCTAGATTCAGGGAAAGATTGATGTAAAGGCACATGGCATCTTAGAAATGTTGGGTCTACATGCTGAAAGAAGACAAGGACCTTTCTCCAGAGCTTGCAATCGAATTACGACTCCTAGTCTCCTTAATAGTGACATAATACATTTCCATTTGTCAAAGCCAAAAAAAAATTTTTTTTAGTTAATTGCTGGCACTAAGTAGTGAGTATAGGTGTCACAAACACTTCATGATACAAACATGAAGTGACAAAAGATTCTCAAAGACCAAGAAGTATCACAAATAAGAATCGCAAACAGAACAAAGTATCATAAAGGCTCTAGAAGTGAAAAGAATGTGATGCTCCAAATATACTAGGGAATCATATAAATTGCTGTATCTTGTAGCATGAGTAGAAACTTAAGGAAATATATTTTTCAATATACTTATTAATTTAGAAGTATAAAGTATACACACACATACATAAATAAGGGGAATTCAAAAGTACATAGAAAATGGAATTTTTTCACGAACTTTTGAAGCCCCTTTGTATATGTGTGAGTGTGTGTACATATAAAGTATATATAGTATGGTGGTGGTGGTGTGTCATGCAGTCGGTTCTGACTTATAGCGACCCTGTATAGGGTTTCCAAGGATGTAAGTCTTTACGGGAGCAGAAAACCTCACCTTTCTCCTGGGGAACTGCTGACCTTGTGGGAAGCAGCCCAGTTTGTAGCCAGTAGGCTCCCAGAGCTGATATGTGTGTAAGTATGTATATAAATGAACTTTCAGATCTATAATTTAATCTGATTAGGATCTTTGCTTTTCCAATAACAGCATACATTTTTGGTAATGAAGAAATTCTGTGATCCAACCTATATGAGTCCCTGGAGGTGGTGGTAGTGTGCTGTGAACTTAGTTCCGACTCATAGTGACCCTGCTAGGGTTTCCAAGGCTGTAAATCTTTACGGGAGCAGAAAGCTTCATCTTTCTCCCAAGATGGCTGGTAGTTTCAAACTGTTGACCTAGAGGGTTAGCAGTCTGACTCCTAACCACTATACTACCAGAGCTCCTTATGCATTTTGAAAGGAGCTCTATAGGGTAGTGGTTACAAGTTGGGCTGCTAACTTCAAGGTCAGCAGTTCGAAACCACCACAAGTTCTGCAAGAAAAAGATGAAGCTTTCTGCTCTCATAAAGATTTACAGCCTTGAAAACCCTGTACAGGGTCGCTATGAGTTGGCACCGACTCCACAGCACATAACCACTACCACTAGACATTCTGAAGTACATCTAAACCAAAAATAAAACCCAAAAAACTTACGAGTTATGTTTGGTTTGGTATGAATGTTAATAGTTGAAGAAAAACTTTTTTGGTTGCATGTATAGTAATGAAGATAGTAGAAAGAATATGTTGTTGTTAAGTACCGTTGAGTAGGTTCCGACCCATAGCAA